ACTAGTGAGTTTCCCCTGGAGGCGATTCAAGAATTGACAATACATGTACCTTCATCTCCTGTTGACGATTAGAGGTCATATTACACACTAGAATCCCACCACAAATCCAGCTGCCACGCTTACATAGAACCAATCCACTTCATCTTCATTACCGTCTTTCTCTCCTCTACATTGATCATTGGGTGTCAGTCACTGCACAATTATTAGGAAGTGGAGAACCACAAAGTTCATTGCCAGTAAAACAAGATGCAGTAAAGCTTTGCAGTTGAGTGCTTAAAGGAATTTTCCTAGCTAGATTGTTGTTGGATAAGTTCAAGACACTAAAAAATGTCAACTTTGAAATGCTTGATCGGATTTCACCAGAAAGTTGATTCCCAGATAAATCAACAGTCTCTAGTGATCCCATAGCACTTATGTTTTCTAGGATTCTCCCAATAAAAGAATTGTGAGATAGATTCAATGACTACAAATGTCGAATCGGTCGTCACGACCACAAAATTAAATATAAGTACCGTAGTTAGCAGTAAGAAGGGTCGAATCCACAGGGAGTAAAGGCTAATGACCTAATGTATATTTGAGTTAACGAAAGGGAAATTGGCAAATTGATTGATTAAAACTAAGGAAACTAATTAATTGCAAGAAATTAAAAACATCAAATAAATTGCTAACTAAAACACAATATTGACAGTGTTACCGCTACGGATTCGGTTCAACTCAAGACCAACTCTCACAATTCCTTTCCTCGCTCTTCAATTTCCTAAACCTACAAGGCTAGGTAAATCAATAAAAACATCTCCCGGCAATCCAAATATAATCTTTCATGTATCCCCGTTGTCTTAGTTACAGATCAATTGATTAAAGATTATCATTGACTAACGAAAAAACGTTAAACCATTAAACACCACTAGTTGGTACAATGCTAACAAGGGCAACCTATCAACTTATATCATCCAATCAACCAATTACACAACGAATGCATTCCTAGTAGAAATTATATTAAACACTAATGCAACTTGATTGCAATCAGTATGGAAGTAATTTAAAGCCATAATCAACATTCAATAATCTCAAACCAACATTCAATTATGCGAAAAGTTGTATATCAACAAACGTTCTCAATGGACATTATCAATTCAGCACGTCAAGCATCAGAATAATATTAATAGATCGCAAACAAACTGAAACAAAAGCAAATATAATATGAATACAAGAAACTTAACCAAATGTCCAACATTCGGGCTCATCCAACCAGTCAAGAACTGCCGAGAAGATCCATGAGTGTCGATTCTGATCTTGCCTATACCGTAACAGGCAACCGGGAGCTCAGCCGCTCATGGTGGTGTCAACGAAGACTGGAACTAGGGATGGGCATAATACATGTCCACGTGGAGGCCCATCCCGACCTGGCCCAAACTGGGTGGAGTTTCCTCGAATTATTTGGGATTTGGGTCGAGCTCAGGCTGAAAATTGGTCCCCGAATTCGGGGACGGGATTGGTCTTACCCCGGCCCAGCCCGACCTGTCCCTACCCCGTACAATATAATAATAATAATAATAATAATAATAATAATAATAATTAATTTTAACCATTTAATCCTATATTAATTTTAATAGTTGAAAATCAATCAATAAAATCATAAATTATACAAGAACTAATTATAATTATGTGAGTAATTTATGAAACCATATACAAATAGGTAATAAATAAAATTAGATTAAATATAATAAATCATTATAAATATTTGTAATACATAACAAATATGTTATATATGTATAATGTATCATTTGATAAACATAATATATATGTTATTTATGTATAATATATCATTTGATATTTTGATTAATTATAATAAATCAATAAATCATTATAATTTTTTTTTTGTCTCTCATTGAATAATTATTTCAATTCCATTACCTAATTGCCCTTGTTATATTATGGTAGTTATTTATTTAGAATTTATTATAATATATATGTATAATGTATCATATGTAATACATTATGTATTATTTAGAATATTAATGAGACATTATAATATATATGGTATAATTTATTTAGAATTTACTATAATATATTATATATTATATATTATACATTATATATAATATGTTATTATCTGTAATCGTAGTATCGTATATTCATATGTTAATACTTGTTACTTAATACAATAATACATAATATTATACCATTAACATATAATATACTTACATATATGTACAATGTATCATAATTATAATTTTAATAGTTTAACTAATTATAATAAATCATAATAATTTTTTTTAAATCATTAAAATTTTTTAAAAAATTACCCCAAATGGGGATTCCCCGTTTGGGGGGTCGAGCCTAATTAGGGCATCCCCCGAATTCCCCATTCAGGCTACGGGCCGGGACTATGGAATCCCCTTGGGCTTTCAGGCTGGGGCCGGAGTGAGGGGTCCTCGGCCCCTGCCCATCCCTAGCTAGAACGTCGAGAATGGAGCTAGTCATGGCAAAGAGGACATAACTGACAACAGATGGCGTGCTTCGTGGCTAGAGGAGACAATGAAAACACTTGGAAGATGAAGGGACACAACTTGTTAGAAAACGTTAGTGTTCAACGGTGGTTCTCGACGACTGGTGGCGGAATGGAGATCCAAGGTATGGGGAGAAAGCTCTCGAGCTGGGGAGTCCGTCTATGTGGCTAGGAAGTTGAGACGACGACACTGGAAAAGGAGCGAAAACACGTGGGGAAGTCTAAGAGTCACGTCTTGGGAAGTGTTGATTCACGTTGGAAAACGACCAAATCGGTGGCAAGGAAGCTTGAGGAAGGTGAGATGGCACTAGGGGAAGATGACCCAACACTCGGCAAGTCGAACCGTCACTAGAAAATGGCAAAAACGGCCTGGGAAGTTGAAGAGTCGCGTGACTTGGGGAGGTGAACTGTTGTCTGGCCTTGGTTTGTGAAGGAGGTGATTTTGGAAGATGGAAGATCGTCGGAGATGCACGTCAGAGCTTGATCAGAGAAGGTGAAGGGTTTTGGTGGGCGGCAGCCACCAATCTGCGACCTTTCACTTCATTTTTATACAAAATGTGATAAATTACATGTGGTGCCTACATGATTCAAGAGTGACAAAATCAACCCCTTGAAAACATGCCTTTTTTACCCCTGAATAGCATAAATGAGACAAAATCACCCCTAATCCATAAACCACAACCTAATATCAACTCACACCATTTCCAAATTCATTCCAAATATGCTAAATTCATAAGAAAACATTAGGATGCGATTTTTCGTGGATAAATTCATAAATTCTTTAATTGCCTCAATATAATTTCATTTTAATCACACATACGGTCATTTTATCACCAAAATAGAATCACTTTCATGACTCTAACAGCAACACTACAAGATTTGTCACTTCCATCGGAATCTCCCCAATGAAGTTACTTTTTGAAAGGTCGAAAACTCTCTAAAGATTCAAAATTGTACTGTATTCAGGCATTTCACCTTTATTCACAAGTAAGGCATGCTCCACATAACTTGAATCAACATATGCATAAGATTCATATTATAATTCTAGTCCAGAAGATACCATTTTCGTCATCTTAGTGAAATTATTGATACATCTTGGTATGGTTCCTAATAAGTTGTTATTAGCAAGATCTAAGATTTGTAGAGAACTAAGACGGCAAAGTTCCCTTGGGAAAAGACCGCTAAACTTATTTGATCGAAGGATGAGAATCTCCATTGTTGAAATTCTTTCTCCTATCCACACTGGGAGATTTCCAGTAAACTTATTTTCACCAAGATCAAGTGTGACTATCTCTGAACAATTTTGAAGTGACACAGGTACTTTACCAAATAGGTAGTTTTTACGAAGATTTAATGATTGAAGAGAACTTAAAGACTGCTACAACACGTGAAGTGAGGGTTTATAATAAGAAGCGTGGGAAGAGGCACCAGGGAATCAATTGTGATAAAAGGGAACAACTAAAGTGTGAGAGAAGCAAAAAGGTGGAATCAACAGGTGGCAACAGATAAGAGGCTGAAACTGAAATTCCGTTAGAGAAGGAGGTGAATAAAAGGGAGCAGCAGAGGTTGAAAAGGCATCAGAGAAGAATTGAGAAAAAGGGGAGGTAGCTGGCCCTCGAAGTCCAGCGTATTAGTTTCATTTATTTTTCCTTGCTGTTTGTTAATTAAATTTTGGTATTTGGGGTGTATCCATACTTGAATGTAACTCAGATTTTACTAGGAATTACATATTTGAGATTCTGAATGTTAGATTATTTACAATCAATGGTTGAGTAACTTGATGTTGGAAAATTGTGGATGATTGAGTAAACAAAACAGAGTAGGTTCGCAACAAAGACCCAATAGAAGTTGGAAGGTTTGCCGTAAATCTATTGTTCTCTAAATTTAGGACTTTTAAGTTTTGCCAATTCATCCAACAATCAGGCAATCCTCCAGATAAAAAGTTTATACTAAGGATGAATAGCTGCATCAAACTTCTTTTCTCATTCATCTCATTGCATATAGAATGGAAAATTGATCCTGACAAAGCATTGTTGGAAAGATCGAGTACATACATATTGAACGGTATGAGAGGTAAAGGACCCGATAAATTATTTGAATTCAGGTCAAGCAAATCAAGTTCACTGGAGTCGGTTAAATTTGGAACCTTCCCATAGATTTGGTTGTGTTAGAGATTTACAAATGCTAAATGAAATTTAAATAAATATATTGGCATAGTATCTATGATGCTTGAGTTGGATAAATCTAGATAAAACAAATTCCTTTGTGAACGAAGCCAAGATGGAAATTGAGGCCCTAAATGACATAAACCTAATCCTAAAACTTGAAGTTTAAATGGAGGAACCCAATGAGGAGAGACTTTTAACATTAGTGAATTTCCAGATGCTTCAAAGTCTAACAGTCTTGTGAGATTTGAGAAATGGATTTCAGAAAGAGTTCCGTTTAATTTGCTGTTGGAAAGCTAAAAAACTTGCAAGGATGAGAGTTCTCCTTATGACGATGGAACTGGACCAAAAATAGAATTGGATCCCAGAAGAAGTGCATACAATTTCTTAAATTGTCCAAGTTGATTTGTCAGTTGACCAAAAAGTTGACTACACCTCAAATCAAGAAACTCCAGGGTATCCGAAGCACATTTAGAGAAAATATCAAGAACTTCAAATATTTCTTGATTTAATTCAACAACTAAGATAGAGACTGACCTTAAGGTGCAAAGCCTTCCCATCGATTTTGGGATTCCACCTTCAAACATATTATACGATAGATCAAGTCTCGTGATAGAAGTCAGGTTTCCGAAAGCAGCCGGAATCATGCCTGTCAAGCTATTTTCCGCAAGAAGAAGGACTTCTAGATGGCTAAATCTATACAACCAATCGGGTATAGAAGAACTGAAATTATTCTGAGATAAATCCAAATGTCTAAGGGAAGTCAAGTTTTGAAGTCTATCAGGGATTGGACCTTCAAAATTATTTAGACTAAGATCAAGGGTGGCAAGAGATGAAAAATTTTCATTGGGTTGGGAGGAAAGTGGTGGAGTTGACAATTTGATAATTTTAACACTACTAACGAAGGTAGAGTGTGTATCACTTGCAACCAATCAGAGGAATTGCTAAGAACCACACTCAAATCAAGGTGTTCCAGGAAAGAAAGATGAGATAACCACCAAAAATTTTCAACAAATAGCATATATCCCCAGGAATCACCTAGACAAAGATATTGCAAATTAGATAGATTTCCAAGTTGGTGAGGAATCATACCCTGAAAGGGATTTTGAGAGAGATTGAGGTATCTTAAATCCTGCATAGAACCAAGAAATCTGGAAATCTGTATTCCTTCAAAATTATATCGCTCAGGTCCAAGGAACGCAAACGCTTCAAATCAAGCAAAGAGGGATTTATCTTACCGTGCAACTTTGACCTCTCATGAGCTTCATATTGAGCATCAGATTCAGCTGGAGATGATGCATCATCCTCTTTCACTGGAGGAGTTCTTAAATCTGAGCTTGAGGACATGTCCTGTCAAGTTGTCACAGAAAATACCAGACCATGTACTGCAATCTCCATGACCAGAAGTCCAAGAGGCAAGCCGGTTGGAAGGATCTATCAGATCTTTCTTGAACCTTAAAAGAGCTTGTCTTTCACTTTCAATGCAACCCCGGCAAGAGCTTCCTCCGCAGAAGCTAATGTTGAGGGTTGTGACAATGAAAAGAAGGCAAGAAAAATTCTCATGGTTTTCTTCTGCATAGGAAAAGTTTATGGAAGAGGAATTGTGAACGAGATTATTATTCTTAGTCGCCTGCTATTTATAGAGTTTCTAGGTAAACCTTTTCTCATTATTCCACCTATCTTAGGATCCACTAAACCATCCAACTAGTTTGTCCAGAAATCAATTTTAAAACTTGTAGGAAATTTCTTTGATCTTTACTCATAACATCAGGATTTTAAAGATGTCAGTGGGCCGGGTGGCTCCAAGATCCCCTGTTTCGTGCACTTGAGAGAAGTAGCAAAAAATTGTAGAAAACTTTTACGACTTTTAATTTCTACAAGTCTCCACTAACAGACGGGACTTAAATCAGAGTCAATTGCACGTAATCAATCCATAGAATGCAATTTGGAAAGGTAGGAAATAAGTGAATTAGCAGAATACTTTATAGACTTCTATTTCTCTGTGTCTCCCACTGGCAGAGTGGACTTCAACTCAATTATATTTTAAATTCTTCAAGTCTTCTACTAATAGAATACTATTTCAATAGACTGAATTCACTTCATCAGAACCCATGAAAAAAAAAAAAAAAATGTCAATACCATGTGTAATGCTTGGCACTAGTAGTTATTTATAAAGTAAATAGTAGTTATTTATAAAGTAAATAGAAAGTATCATGGGCGACATTTCATGCTACAGAGACAGCTACAACTTTTCATCCATCCAATTACTTTCAATCATTCACATTAATAAAGTACGTAGACTCCAAGTCAAATCCTATTCAGCTGACCCGAGTAAATCTATTCATCCATGGAACTTCTCATGAATGATCAATTAAATTGCTCATCTGGAGCAGAAGTCTGAAAAGTAGGACCTCACAGTATACATGTAATTAGTCAATAAAGCTTACAATAGAAAAGTATCAAAGTTTTAATTGATTTTTGTAACCCCTCCTTCAAGTTTAATATATCATTTAAGTGAAAGAATATGTATCTTTGAACAGTTTCAGATTAGGCTTTTGGCATTGCAGAGTAGCAAGTGTCCCGAAAACGAAATTCGCATCTCCTGTTTTGTGCTTTATTTAGAACGGAGAATTGAAAGGAAATAACAATAACCTGAATAAAAATCACCTGCCAAGTTCAGATGGGTCCTTGGAAAAACCTGTAAAACATCTTGGAAGAAGAAGTTTATGGGGAATGGGACCTACATTAAGAAAGAAGATTTTTTACCTTCAGAGACTTGTATAATTTCTTATAAAGTCTCAAAGATCCTCAAAGATCTGATAACCAGCATTTATATTGGGATCATTTATTAATAAACAAAAAGTTTAAGTTTAAGTAACAAAACACTTAAAGAAGAGAAACAAAATCACTCTGTTCCAGGCTCCCCTGTTTCAAGCTCTGTTCAAAACAGAGGATTAAGTAGAGATTTTTGTTGTATGCACAAATATTCATCAATTCAATTGCTCCAATGATCCAACACGAAAACAGATTTGGGTCCAAACGTAAAATAACCAGAAATATTTTCTTACAACACAACCATATTAGTTTCAAAAAGCTGTCTAACAAAAGATAATTAAAAAAAAAAAAAAAATCTAAATCTCTCTAAAGAGACAAGTTAAGGACTTATTACGTCCCATAAACTCATCAATCCAATTGCCATGCTTATGTAGAACCAGCTAACTTCATGTTCATTAGCTCCAGTATCAGAAGTCATAGCACAATTTTTGGGCAGCGGAGGTCCACAAAGTTCATTGCCATTGAAACATGATGGATCGAAGCCCTGTAACTGAATGCTCCGGGGAATTATCCCAGTCAAATTGTTATTTGATAAGCTCAAGTGACTTAGAAACATTAGATTTGACATGCTTTGTGGGATGTTTCCAGAAAGCTGATTTCCAGATAAATCAAGGGCCTCTAATAGTGTCAGAACACCAATACTCTCAAGAATTCTTCCTATGAAAAGATTGTGCGACAAATTCAATGACTTCAATGCTCCAAGTTTTGTCACTTCAAAAATGGACAATCTTGTGAGATTGGCAAAATGGACTTCAGAAAGAGTTCCACTGAGATTGTTATACAAAAGATCATGAGATTCCAATGATGAAAGTTCTCATGAAGAAGATGGGAAAGGACCTAAAAAAGTTGGTTCTCATTCGAATCCAGAAACTCTAGTCTGCGGGAAAAACATTCTAAGAGCTTGCTTCAACCTTAAAAGAGATTTGTCTCTCGGTTTCGACGCAACCCTCATAAGAGCTTCCATTGCAAAAGATAATTTTGATTGTTGCTATAGCAAGAAACTTAAACAAAAGCAATAATTTGATGACACTCATGGTTACTTTTGATTGGCATACACCAGCAAATAGAAACTATAGAGAAGGGATATGAGAATGAGACTTAATAATTTTTTTATTGCCACTGATAAAACTCAATGATCTCACTAACCCATTAATGGTTTTGGGGGGAATTAATGATTAATTAGCATTAAGATTTTAAAAAGTTATGTATCACCAATGGGATGCATTATGCAATTGTGGTGGCTAGATTTTGATTCTTATAATTTACATATGGGTCAAATTATATTTTAATTTCTTTTAGTCTCCCACTAATAGAGTAACTGTTTCACGGGAATGAACTCAGGTCATCAGATGCCATGACGAAGAAAAGGTGAATAAATAAATGAATTAAAGAATTCAATCTTATTATCAAAGACCGTTCTAAGTTAAACATATGTAACTTTCTTCTGCACAGCTTGAAACTATTTAATAAGTCTGAAATCAAGTGAAGACTTACATTATCATAGGCAATTAGTCTTTCTTTTAAAAAATTTCAAGATTTCGCTTTCTTTGTGTATGAATAATGAATTTAAAACCTCTATTGCCAAGGGATTAGCTACGTTTGCATTACCATAATAATTTTAGTTTGTGACAAAGAAAGCAATGCAAAGATAGATTTTATCATCTGAAATGATCAACAACCACTAATGATTACACCCCTTTTTGACACACACAAAATAAGCTCCCAACATGAAGAAGACTCAAAAGTTAAAATCCAGAGCCATTTTCTGATAACACGTAATAAAAAATGTCAATGCGAAATCAAGTGCTCCTGATAAACTGTCAATGTGAAGTCCCCTGATCAAGACCTCATAATACAAGTCGAGAAAGTGGCAAATAAAAAATTTAAAGAATTTCACTTTAATCTGCAGAAAACTTTATAGAATTTTCATTTTTTATAAGTCTTCCACTAACAAAGTGGACATCATCTGAATTAAGTTCCCCCCTCCCGCTCCCCCCAGCCAAAAAAAAAAAAAAAAGGTAAATTAATAATTGCGAAAGAAAGGCTTCATTCTCAAGAGTAATTGATACGTTTCAAGTCAAGTGAAGATCATAGTATTCTTAGAGTAGTTCAAATTTTAGTAGATCCCATAGTAAACTCCAAGCCAATAAAAAGAGGACAGCATATACAAAACACAGCTTTGATTTTTTCACTTTTGTCCCTTCCAAGATTCCACAAAATGATTTACTTTGTTTAAGTCTCCCACTAACAGACAGGACTTAAGTCTATTGTGTTTTAATTTCTGTAAGTCTGCCACTACTGGAGTATTGTTTCACTGGAATGAAATATATGTGCCATGGCCAAGTTAAACTGAATGATTAAATGAATTAAGGGCAAATCAGATCCTCAAAGATCTGATAATCAGCATTTATATCTGCTATCACCTCTGTTCAAATTATATTTGTTTTCATATTTCTCTTGTTCTATTTACCACAAATATTCTTTCGTCATTTCTTTTTAATTTTCACATTTTCTATTTCTTTGTTAGCAGATTTTACCTTATTTCTGTAATTTTTTCATTCATTCATGAACTCTTTTGCATGTCCAACTCAGACGGAAATGAATGCATTAATACCTGTAGTCTGTAAGAAAGACACAACAAATATGATTAATTTCATGATCGCAGATGTTCATACTGTTGATCCTATCCCTTTTTAGCACATTCAAGATAAACTGCAAACATTATAGAACCCAAAAAAAAAAAAAAAAAAAAGGAAAAATGGAAAATTCTAGTAACATATCCTTACAAGACTACCGAGTTTCTCTTGGAGGCGATTCAAGAACTGACAATACATGTACCTCCATCTCCTGTTGAAGACTAGAGGTCCTATTACACACCAAAATCCCACCACAAATCCAGGTGCCATGCTTACATAGAACCAATCCACTTCATCTTCATTACGGTCTTTCTCTCCTCTGTTTTGATCATTGGGTGTTGGAACAGTCACTGCACAATTATTAGGAAGCGGAGGACCACAAAGTTTATTGCCAGTAAAACAAGATACATTCAAGCTTTGCAGTTGAGTACTTAAAGGAATATTTCCAAACAAGTTGTTGTTGGATAAATTCAAGTGACTCAAAAACGTCAACTTCGAAATGCTTGATGGGATTTCACCAGATAGTTGATTTCCAGATAAATCAACAGATTCTAGGGATACCATAGCACCAATGTTTTCTGGGATTCTCCCAATAAAAGAATTGTGTGACAGATTTAGTGACTGCAGTGCTCCAAGATTTGTCACTTCAATAGGAATCTCCCCGGAAAAGTTATTTTTGGAAAGGTCTATAATTCTCACAAGCTCCAAAATTATACTGTATTCAGCCATTTCACCTTTATTCATAACTGATGCACCCTCCATATAACCTAGATAATAATCTGAATCAGATGCATATTCTAGTTCTGGTTGAGAAGTACCCAATATTATCATTTCGCTGAAGTTGCTAACACATCTTGGTATAGTTCCAAAAAAATTGTTATCTGCAAGATCAAGGATTTGTAGAGAACTGAGATGGCAAAGTTCCCTAGGTAAAAGACCGTTAAACTTATTTGATCGGAGGATCAGAATCTGCATTCTTGAAAATGTTTCTCCCATCCACACTGGGACGTCCCCAACAAACTCATTTTCACCAAGATCAAGTTTGACTATCTCTGTCCAATTTTGAAACGACACAAATACTTCTCCCAAAAGGTGGTTTTTACGAAGGTTTAATGATAGAAGAGAACTTAAAGTCCTAATAGAGGTAGGAAGGTTTCCAGTGAAACGATTGTAATCTAAATTCAGGACTTCTAAATTTTTCCAATTAAACCAACAATCAGGTATTTCCCCTGATAAGAAGTTTTTACTAAGGATGAGTATTTGCATCGAACTTTTTGTCTCATTCATCTCATTACACAGGAAATGGAAAATTGATCCTGAAAAAGCATTGTTGGAAAGATCAAGCGAAGACATATTAAACGGGATAAGGGGTAACCTACCGAATAAATTATTCGAATTTAAGTCAAGCGAATGAAGGTTAGTAAACTCGGTTAAATTTGGAATTTCCCCATAGATTTGGTTGTGAGAGAGATTTAAAAATTTTAATGGAAATTTAAATAAATATTGTGGAATGGTGTCAAAAATGCTTGAGTTGGATATATCAAGATAAAGCAAACTCCTTTGTGAACGAAGCCAAGATGGAAAAAGAGGCCCTAAATGGCAAGAACTTAATCCTAAAAACATAAGTTTAAACGGAGGTATCCATTGAGGACTGACTGTCAACATGAGAGAATTTTGAGATGCGTCAAATTCTAACAGTTTTGTCAGATTTGAAAAATGGATTTCAGAAAGAGTTCCGCTTAATTTGTTGTTGGGAAGATAAAGATATTTCAAGGACGAAAGTTCTCCTAAGGACGATGGAATCGGACCAGAAATAGAATTGTCTGATAGAGCAAGTGTCTGCAATTTCTTAAATTGTCAAAGTTGATTGGTCAGTTGACCAAAAAGTTGACTGTCACTCAAATCAAGAAACCCTAGAGCATCTGAAGCGCATTTTGAGAAAATATCAAGTACTTCATATATTGATTGGCTTAAGTTGAGACCTGAGATAGAGACTGACCTTAAGTTGCAAAGCCTTCCCATCGATTTTGGGATTCCACCTTCAAACATATTTGCCTGAAGAAAAAGGTCTTCTAGATGGCTAAATCTATTCAACCAATCAGGTATAGAGGAACTGAAATGATTGTAAGATAAGTCAAGATTTATAAGCGAAGTCAAGTTTTGAAGTCCATCAGGGATTGGACCTTCAAAATGATTTAGACTTAGATCAAGGGTGGCAAGAGACGAAAAATTTGCAATAGGTTGGGGAGGAAAGTGATGAAGTCCACAGGATGACAATTTTAGCACTACTAAGGAAGGGAGTGCTTTTATCACCTCAAACAAATCATAAGATTTGGTGAGATCCACACCACTCAAGTCAAGGTGTTTCAACAAAGAAAGACGAGATAACCACCACAAACTTTTAGCATGTAACTTCGCATCTGAGAAGCCACCGAGGGCTAGATATTGCAGATTAGAAAGATTTCCAATTTGCTGGGGAATCACACCTTGGAAATCACTTAAAGAAAGGTTAAGGTATCTTAAATTGTGCATAGAACCAAGAAACCTCGGAATCTGAATTCCTTCAAAATTATGATCACTCAAGTCCAAGGAACGCAAATGCTTTAGATCAAGCAAAGAAGGATTTATCTTACCGCCCAATTTTGAGCTCTCAGGAGCTTCCTCTACAGGTTCAAAACCGGCTGGAGATGCAGCCTCTTTTACTGGAGGAGTTCTAAGGTTGAGCTCGAGGACATGCCCTGTCAAGTTGTTGCAGACAATGCCAGACCATGTACAACAATCTCTATGACTAGAACTCCAAGAGGCAAGCAAGCTCATAGGATCTATGAGATCTTTCTTGAACCTTAGAAGTGCTTGTCTCTCACTTTTGATGCAACCCATGTAAGAGCTTCCTTTGCAGAAGCTAACATTGATAGTAATGAGAAGAAAGGCAACAACAATTCTCATGGTTTTCGTTTGCATACCCCTCTAGGAAGTACTTACAACAAAAGGGAAATGTGCAAGAGAGTATTATCAATGGCATGTTATTTATAGTTTTTTTCATTTTCCTTTCATTTTCCTTTTGAAAAGTATTCATCATTGATCATTTTATTCATATTTTAGTCTCCCACTAACAAAGTAGACTTAATTAACTAGAATAATTCTTTTAGTCTCCCACTAACAGAGTAATTCTTTTTTATTCATCTTTTAGTTAATTCAGATTAGACTTAATTATTCATCTTTTAGTCTCCCACTAACAGAGTAGACTTAATTATGTTTTAGTTTCTTTAAGTCTCCCACTAACAGAAAAGACTTAAGTCAATTATGTATCATTTCTATTGAGTCTCCCACTATCAGAGTATGGTTTTACTAGAATGAATAAAAACTAAATAATTAAATGAACTGAGGGTACAACAGATCCTCAAAAATCTGATTATTAATAGATATATTAAGATCTCTTATTGCTTAAATCACATTTTAAGTGCTTATATTAATAAGTCCTGATAGTTGATTTTATAAGGTCGTCCTTACATATGCTATAAGCTCTGTCTAATTATATATATATATATATTTTTTTTTTTTTTTTTTGCGAATATGAAACTTTTCTCTTGTACCATTTATGCACATACCATTATATTTTTTCATCATTTCTTTGAAATATTCATGTTCTGTTTCTTTCTTTAGTAGATATTACCTTCATTTTTCATAAAATTACAACTACAGTTTTCAGAATGGACTTAAGTCAATTAAAGAGAAAACTATCCAAGCTTTTAATTTACTGTGGATTCAGTTCAGATCACTTTTTCTTGGATTGAACAGAGAATTCATGATATTCACAAGTTGCAGTTCCGTATACTTTTTTTCTGCAAGTATGCAATCATGCTTGATGTTATATCTGATATCCATTCCAAATGTTTTACGTAGCACACAAAGTTTGAAAGATTAAAGCCAAAGTATTAAATACAAAATTACCTGGTAATTAATGTTACCTTAAAAAGTAATACAAAGACAATTTACTCTGTTACATAGAGAAGTGCATGAATTAAGTTGTAATCTGCTCAACCACCCCTGCAATTGTAAATGTGAATGAGAATATTATAAAGGATATGATATATAAAGCTTTTATTTATAGTGGAATCCAAGTTAATTAAAAAGGATATTATATAACAAGCACATATGATAATGTAATCTCTTAGGAAATTACTCTGTTTCAAGCTCTGTTCAAAATGGAGATCACAGAATTTAGATTGTGATTTTACTCTTATCATTTGGACCGGTTTAAAGTCATTCTCTATTAAAATATATTAATTTTGAGCCCCAAAACTTAACGTTGGACATTGAAGTAGTGAGGGATCAAAGGGATTAGTATTTACCCTAATTCTAAACCTAACCTTTTTGTTTCATTTCTTCTCTTTTCATTTCATCTTTCAAATCTGTCCATCAGCAACGTAACTGAACTTATCTGTACTGTTCCTGGTTAACGCAAATTTTGGAAATGTGTCTTTCTTGTCTGACCATATAAAGTTTCCTTTGTAGTTTCAGATATATGCTTCTCCATGCAGAAAGAATCGGTATCTATGAAGAATTTATGATTAGGCTTTTGGCATTGCATAGTAATAACAAGTTTACTGAAACCGACACTCGAATCTCCTGTTTTGTGCTCTGTTTAGAGCGGAGAATTGAAAGGAAATAACGATAATCTGGATAAAAATCACCTGCCAAGTTCAGATGGGTCCTTGGAAAAACCTGCATAACATCTCGGAAGAAGAAGTTAATGGAGAATGGGACCTACATTAAGAAAGAAGATTTTTTTTCCCTTTAGAGACTTGTATCATTTCTAGTAAGTTTCCCACTGACAGAGTAGACTTAAGTCAATTATGTTTTAGTTTCCTTAAGTCTTCCACTAACAGAGTAGACTTCCGTCAATTACGTTTTAGTTTCTTTAAGTCTCCCACTAACAAAGAAGACTTAAATCAATTATGTTTTAGTTTCTTTAAGTCTCTCACTAACAGAGAAGACTTGAGTCAATTATGTTTTAATTTCTTCAAGTCTCCCACTAACGTAGTAGACTTACGTCAATTACGTTTTAGTTTCTTTAAGTCTCCCACTAATAGAGAAGACTTAAGTAAATTATGTTTTAATTTCTTCAAGTCTTCCACTACTGGAGTGTTGATTATGTTTTAATTTCTTCAAGTCTTCCACTACTGGAGTGTTGTTTCATTTGAATGATATACTTAATGATCTGATAATCAGCATTTATGTTGAGATCATTTATTAATAAACTTCCATTCATGTTTTCTTACAATTGATTTTTACGAGGTCATCCTTACGTGTGAAGACATTAAAAACAAAAAGTTGGTGAAGTTTAAGTAACAAAAACAATTAAAGAAGAGAAACAAAATCACTCTGCTCCAGGCTCCCCTGTTTCAAGCTCTGTTCAAAACAAAGGATTAAGTAGAGATTTTTGCAGTATGCACAAATATGCTTTATGTTAAATGTGAATTCCCTTCCACATGTTTTAAACATACATAGCACACGAAGTTTGGAACATTGAAGCCAAAGTACGTAGTAAATTTTGACTAAAAGAAAAAATAAAACATGGTGATTTATTAGCTTCGACTTAACTATGCATGAGAATGCATGAAGGTCTTGACGATAATGGACGCCAAGTTCTTTTTTTCTCACAAATCACAACCAAATTATAAATGGCAACCACAAAAAAGTGTCTTCTCCAACATTCTATAAGCCCTAAAACCAATTACTTTTGATATTCAACCCCAGGCAATGTTACTACTGTTTACTCAATTTCTCGCACCACTAATGTTACAGTAACGTTATCGGTACCACATGCACCAGTTTCGTTACCGTGATGGTGCAGCACACCACTAAGCTTGGAGTACCTCATCCCCCAGTAATGTTACGCTGATGGTGCAGTATAACCGTAACATTACCAAACCGTATCTTACAGTAACGTTAGCAGGCACCTCCTGTTCCGGCAGTAATGTTGGTGTTATCATATATATATTCAGTGTTAATTTTACTGGTGTTATGATTATAACGGTAACGTAGAATTTACAGTGCTCGTCAAATTTTTTTCATTGGAAGTTGATTTCTGTGATGATGGTAATGCCTTCTTCTTCCCCACAATCCTCTTAAGAAGTGATTATCTGTCAATTCAATACTCATGCTATTTATTTGGAAGACTCTGACGGAAGGAGAAGGTCTAAACGACCATTCTAGATGACCGGTAAATCTTCAGCAGAGTTCTGTTAGAATAGCTTCTCTATTTTAGATGACATTAATTGCAGATCAGGTCTGCAGTTGTATGATATTTATTTTGAATATATATTTGATGTGTGGATTCTGGGTAGGCCATTCTTGTGTCAGAGGAATAGCGCAATCATCATATAAATTTAAGTAATGTTGAGAACAAAACAAATTAAAGTGGCTGTTAATCTTTAATTAGGCCATTGTGAGGGTGTGAGTTCTGAATTATACTAACTGCTAATTCATTATCTTCATCTCCCCAATTGTCAAACTTAGTTTAAGCAACAATCTTTTCTTTCAATGAAGTCAAATCTTTGTAAATGCTGGCAAGAACAGCAGGTGCAAGTGCAATTCTAGTCCCTCTAGCTAAACGTACCGCAATAGGAAATACAAATTTGAGAATTAGATTATAGGGGCTAAGAACAAACCTTGACAACCACTAGGCAAGAAAAGCTTCATGTTCAATTTGGCTTCCACTATCCATAAATTTCTTCATGCATACACTATGTTCTGCTTCTTTCTTGTACTGGTGTTGAGTTCTGATATTGCTTGATTCAATTTCTCTTCCAACTCCGTCATCTCATCCGTTTTAACGGGGCAAAAAACAGGGGACCCCAAGTCCCCAACACAGAGTACCATGCAATCATCAGATCTTCTAGAGTGAGTGTAGCTTCACCCCAAGAAAAAACGAAACTTCTACTTTTCAGGACACCATTTCTCTGCAAGACCAAGAACCATATCATCATTTTTTCCAAGATCGCTTCTCATATACCAACTTTCTCCCATGTACATTCATATAAAGCAGCCATTTTTTCCACCCATTTTCTCCAATCTTTTTGTGGGAACCTCCATCCATGATATGCCACTTTCAAAGGCCACTTTTTCGGCTCAAAAGTGGACGGTAAATGGTCAAGACAGTGGGAAGGAAGCTCAAAAACCACACCTTTAGAAGATTGTACGGTACGTTTGAGAAAATGGGCTAGCTTCTTAGTAGGAATCCTATCACATGTTGGTGGAACCATCAACCCTTGTCTCACTTCAACGCCAAGTTGTACCACTTCCTCCATTGTTGAAACTCACAAATGATGTTTAAAAAACCGTCTCTTGAAATGGGTATGTGGGTTTCTTTGTGAGCAAGGGAGAGAGAAAGTCAAGAGTCAGTCTCGAAGATTAAAAATTGAAGTCTGTATATGGAAGAGAGAAAAAGTTGGGATTTGTGGGTATAGGGTTCATCTTTTTGCTTCAAAAGAGAGAAAGAGAAGTATTGGAAGTGGTGTTGAGTTGATAATTGAAATTGGATTGTTAAATTGCTCTTCAAAAGCATGAAACATGGGTCAACTTATGAAAACACTTCTGGAACTATTTTTGTTGGATTTTCAAATATCTATCTCCGTTTTTGAACTGTTTACTACATTGTCATAGACAACCCTAGATTTTATCTTCTATGTCTAATGTGCAAATTGATATGTCATATTATAGTTGGGAGAGTGAAAATGTGAAGTAAACTCATTAACGGGAGATAGATCAGTGTCAATTAAGGGGTAATGCTACATCACTTTATGTACTTAAACTTGTATATAAACTTTATAAAAGTAGTACTACTATTCCTTTAAACATATGTTCACTTTTTGTCTACCTTTGTTATTAAATTTTGCATTTAGTTTTTTATTTATTCATATTTATGTCATCTATTCAATTTTTGCTCACCCAATTAAAACAAAAAATTTGATCATTCTACAATATTCTAGTCACTGATCAATGTGCTAAAGCAGTGAATAATGCATTAACATAATCTTTTTGGTTTTTAAAAATGATAGCAAATATCATTTCATGACAAATGTTCAAACCATTAGTCACATCCCTTTTTGGTACATACGAAGTAAGCTCCAAACGACAATAAATAAATAAATAAATAAATAATAAAGAAATAAAAACCTTTAGTAATATTTTCTTACAACACTGCCCACTTTGTCTTGGAGGCTATTCAAGAATTGGCAATACAAGTACCTCCATCTTTGGCTAATGAGTAGAGAACCCTAAAAACTCCAGAATCCCACAATAAATCCAAGTGCCATGCTCACAAAGAACAAGTTCACTTCATCTTCATTACCATCTTTCACTTCTTTATTCTGATTGTGGAGTTTGGAACAGTCACAGTACAATTATTAGGAAGTGGAGGTCCACAAAGTTGGTTTCCAGTAAAACATGATGCGTCAAAGCCACATAATTGAGTGCTTGAAGGAATTCTTCCGGTTAAGTTGTTGTTGGATAAGTTCAAGTCACTCAAAAATGTCAAACTTGAAAGGCTTTGTGGGATTTCACCTTAAAGTTGATTTCTGGAGAAATCGATAGAATCTAGAGATCTCATAGTACCAATGTTCTCTAGAATTCTTCTAGTAAAATCATTGTGTGACAGGTTGAGTGATTGCAATTCTAAAAGATTTGCCACTTCCACAAGAATCTGTCCGAAGAAATTATTTTTTGAAAGGTCTATAACTCTCACAAACTTCAGAATTGTGTTCTATTCAACGATGTGACCTTTGTTCACAAGTAGTTCACTCTCCAATTATGTTGAAACATAATATGTATCAGCGTCATAATTCATATCGTTTTCCTCATTAAAGTTCTTTGTCATGGCACTTAAGTTGTTGATGCATCTTGGTATGGTTCCAAAGAAGTTGTTATTTGCAAGGTCTAAGATTTGCAGAGAACGGAGATTACAAAGTTCTTTCAGTAAATGGCCAGAAAACTTATTTGACCTAAGGTTGAGAATCTTCATTCCTGAAAATCTCTCTCCAACCCACACCTTGAGATTTCCAACAAACTCATTTTCACCCAAATCAAGCGACACCATATGTGTACAATTTTTAAGTGACACAGGAATTGTTCCAAAAAAGTATTTTTTATGAAGGTTTAATGATTGGAGAGAACTTAAAGTCCCAATAGAAGCTAGAAGCTAGCAACTTACCAATGAATCTATTGTTATTGTAGATGTAAAAAATCTACCGTCATGAAAATAGGGTCTGATCCCGTAAGGTTGAGGCCACTGACAATCTATTGGACCTACACACATGAAAAGGCAAGCGTGAAGCTTCTGGAAAACACTGGGGTGGTGTTTACCGTAGGCACTCCGACGCTCAAGTCAGCGAGACTGAAAGAGGTTATTTGATAAGAATTAAGGAGAGGAAGAATTACCAGGAGTCTTGTCAGAAGCTAGGACTACGGTAGAGGCATCAGGTTCTTGGGAGCAAGAACTTAGGAGCAAATAGATGGTTTTGAGTAGTGTAGATTGACTATTGGAGATTGCTTGCCTAATGAGAGGGCAAACCTCTGTTTTTATAGTGAACCCAAGGGGTTGGAATCCTAATAGGACATTGAGTCTTATTTTGGGAGATAATCCCTATCATGAAAGAGGTATGATTTCTTGACCTTATTAAATCAAGTTTAATAGTTTGAGTAAGATTTGGACTCTTAGTAGACGAGGAAATAGAATAGGACTCTGATTTCCTATTTATAGACTGTTGCAGGCTAATGAACTGAAACCCAGTTTAGCTTAATTTATAGGATAGCCAAACTCATAGAGTGGGTAGGTCGTAAGGTGATTTTAAGCGTAGGCCCAATCGGGATTGGGTTGAGGCCTTGGGCCGTGACATGTTTATTTTGTTATTGGGCATTGTCAAGCCCAAGACGATTTTTGACCCTAACAGTTATCTAAATTCAAGACTTCTAAGCCTTTCAAATTCATCCAACAATCAGGTGTAACTTCTGACAAAAAGTTGTTATTAAGGATGAGAATTTGCATCATGCGCTTTGACTCATTCATCTTATGACACAACAAATGGAAAATTGATCTTGACAAAACGTTGTTGGAAAGATCAAGTAGATACAAATTGAAGGGTAAAAGAGGCAATGGACCTGATAAACGATTTGAATTCAAGTCAAGCACTTCAAGCTGAGTGGACTTTGTTAAATTTCGAATCTGCCCATAGATTTGGTTGTGAGAGAGATTTACAAAATTGAAAGGAATTTTGAATACAAATGTTGGAATAGCATCTTTAATTCTTGAATTGGATATGTCAAGATATTCTAAATGCTTTTGTGAACGAAGCCACGGTGGAAATTGAGGCCCTAAATGACAAGATCCCAATCCTAGAACTTCAAGTTTAAAAGGAGGAACCCAATGAGGACTGACTTGGAACATTAATGATTTTCCGAATGCATGAAATACAAATAATCTTGTCAAATTGGAAAAATGCATCTCAGAAAGAATTCCATTCAATCTGTTATAGCCAATAGAAAGAAGTTGTAACGTCGATAATTCTCCTAAAGCGGATGGAATAAAACCTGAAAGAGAATTGTAATGCAGACGAACAATATTCAACTTTTTAAATTGTCCAAGTCTTTCACTCAATTGACCAAAAACTTGACTTTCTTGCAAATCCAAAATCTCTAGTACGTTTGAAACGCATCTAGAAAAAATATCAAGGACATCGGATATTGGTTGGCTTAAATTGACATATGAGATAGTGATTGACCTTAAGTTGCAAAGTCGTCTAATTGATTTTGGGATTCCACCTTCAAATCCATTTGATGACAGATCAAGCTCTTCTATAGATGTCAAATTTCCTAGAATCCGTAATGTGCCTTTCAACCCATTATCATCAAGAAGAAGTCCCTGGAGATGGCTAAGTCTGTAAAACCAATTGGGTATTCAAGAATTGAAATGATTTCCAGATACATGAAGATATTTAAGGGAAGTCAAGTTTTGAAGTCCATAAGGAATTGGACCTTCAAAATCATTGTAACTCAAATCGAGGGTCTCAAGAAACGAAAAATTTACAATGGGTAGTTTAGGAAAATGATGGATTCCACAACTTGTCAATTTTAACACTACTAGAGAAGGGAGTGTATTGACCACATGCAGCCAATCAGTGGATTGGCTGAGATCCACACCACTCAAGCCAAGGTGTTTCAACAAAGAAAGACGAGATAACCACCCTAAATTGTCAATATCTAAACTGCCTTCGAGGGCAAGATATAGCAAATTGGAGAGGTTTTCAAGCTGGTGAGGAATCACACCCTGGAAATCACTTAGAGAGAGGTTAAGGTATCTTAAGTTGTGCATAGAACCAAGAAACCTCGGAATCTGAATTCCTTCAAAATTATTATCACCCAAGTCCAGGGAACGCAATTGCTTTAAATCAAGCAAAGAGGGATTTATCTTACCGCCCAACATTGAGTTCTCGGCATCAGATTCTGCTGGAGATGATGCATCCTCTTCCAGTGGAGGATTTCTAAGGTTGAGCTCGAGGACATGCCCTGTCACGTTGTTGCAGACAATGCCAGACCATGTACAGCAATCTCTGTGACTAGAATTCCAAGAGGCAAGCCGGTTCATAGGATCTATGAGATCTTTCTTGAACCTTAAAAGTGCTTCTCTCTCACTTTTGATGAAACCCATGTAAGAGCTTGCTTTGCAGAAGCTAACATTGATAGTAGCTATAGTAATGAAAGGAAAGGTGTTATAACCTAAGCCTAATAAACAAATCCGCAACACAAAACAACACACAAGATTAAGGATCAAGAAAATCACACACAAATACACAAGGCACAATTTTTACCGTGGTTCGTCTATCCAATCTTGGATAGACTACGTCCACGTTGAGCTCCGAAAATATGGAAGCCCACTGCACTAATGAGACAGTCAAAGAATACAAGAAGAACACAGTTACAAGTCTGCCTCAAACAGACTACCACCCACTACGGCCTAATCACTCCAGAACCTCTCAACAATCTGCAAGAACCAGAGGACAAACCAGCCTCTAGAAGGAAAATCAACCCTCTCTCACTCAAAGCAGATTAACCCAGAAAGATTCAACAGAAGAAAACCCTAGCCCGAGTGTTTATCCCCTTTTTCAAACCCTAATCCCGATTAACGAAAATACACGTCTATCAAGTGTCACTGTTGATCTTCTTTATATATGATTTTATCAGCAGTTCTCAGCCCTTGGATCTGTCTTGATCTGATGGCTGAAACTTGGTAATGGCTTTAAACAAAACGACCCAGTTTTGACTTAAGTGAAACAGCTCCGTTTTTGGCTTCACAAAACTTTCAGTCTCCACCTTGAAGCCAACTTCATTCCCTTTAGTGCAGTGAGCTATCCTGTATTTCTTCTCAGCTCTTTAAGGACAGTACTTACTTATATGAAGCAGGTTCAAGCAATGCTTGAACTTGGCTGTGGTCACCACTTTTGTTCCCATGTCCGCTGGATTGTCTTCAGTGGGTACCTTCAACAGATTTAACTCTACCTTTGCAATCAAGTCTCTGACATAGTGGTGCCTTACATCCACATGTTTAGTTCGTTCGTGATACACTGGGTTCTTGCTTAAGTGGATGGCACTTTGACTATCAGAGTAGACTGTTGCTGTGCCATTCAGCAGATTAGCTTCTTTAAGGATTCCTTGCAACCATGTTGCTTCCTTAAATGCATCTAAAACTGCTACATACTCAGCTTCAGTAGTGGACAATGCAACCAGAGGTTGCAACTGAGCTTTCCAACTGACACAGTTTCCCCCCAGTGTGAAATAATAGGCAGTTGTGGACTTCCTAGAGTCTCTATCACCTGCAAAATCTGCATCTACATACCCCACAAGATCAAGTGATGCATATCTTTTACAGAACATTAAACCAATTTGAACAGTACCATTAATGTATCTCATCAACCATTTTAATGCATTCCAGTGTTCATTTCCAGGGTTTGACATGAATCTGCTTAATAGTGATATTGCATATGCTAAAGTAAGGTCCTGGTGGATATCAGGAATACATTACAGAACCTATGGCATTCGAGTAAGGGACATTCTCCATTTTCAATCTTTCAGACTCTGTTTTTGGGGACTGTGACTTACTAAGTAGAAATGGTTTGCTAAGGGCATTGTCACTGCCTTGGATTCATTCAGTCCAAATTTTAACACTAGTTTTTGTAAGTATGAGGACTGATGCAGTTTAGTGTTGTGCACTGTTGCTATCAATCATCATTCCTAGTATTTTCTTTGCCTTCCCTAAGTCCTCATATCAAATTCAGTATTCAATTTGCCTTTAATGCATTAATTGAGACATGGACTTGCTAATTATTAACATGTCATCTACATATAGAGAAGGTAGATTGGTATGTCATTCATACAGGCAAAGTAGAAACAGTTATCGTACATGCTTCTAGTGAATCCATTTCTATTATGAAAGCATCAAATCTCTGTACCACTGTCTAGGGGACTGTTTAGTCCATACAGAGATTTATTAAGCAGGCATACATAATCAGGCAGTTTTCTGTCTTAAAGCCACAGGTTGACTCATGAATATTTCTCTCAAATCACCATGCAAGAAAGCAGTTTTAACATCCATGTTCTATCTCTAAATCATGTTGAACTACAACTGCTACATGAGTCTAATTGTTTTAAATTTAACTACTGGAGAAAATTTTCAGTGAAACAATACTGCTCTTGAGTGTAGCCCTTTGCCACTAACTGCTTTGAATCTTGGTGGGTCAGACTCATTTATCTTCTTTCAGTTTATACAACCATCTGCATTCAACCAATTTTTGATTCTTTGGCTTTGGAACCAGTGTCCAGGTTTTGTTAAGTGCAATGACTCCATCTCTTCCCCATAGCAGCCACCCAATCTCTCTATCCCTTGAACTCATTGCTCATCATAGGTATTTGGTTCTGATCGATGTGTTTCTGCCCTAGCTAGGAGTGCTGTATAAATCAGGTCAGCATAGCTGTACCTTGCGGGGTCTGATTTCCCTTCTGACTGTCCCTGGCTAACTGATATGGGCCAAGTTGTCCTGCTGATCCTCTTCAGCATTGTCAGTAGGGTAATCTGCACCTCCTGCTCCTGATTTTGTTGAGGTTGATCTTCAACAGGGTCAGGATCATTTATTTGGGTGTGTTGGTCAGAATTAGTTTCAGGCTCCACCTCAAATGGGTTGTCCTAGTTTGTCCTGGGTTTCAGACTCTTCTTGTGAGCTACCTGATTGTTAGTGCCAGGTTTGCAGGGAAAAACTTCATTGAAAATCACATCCCTACTGACAATTACCCTGACCCCTGGGCATCCCTTTGCCATAGCCTATACCCTTTGTTCCCTCTTGATACCTAAGAAGACACACTTGAGGGATCTTGGTTCTAACTTTCCATCTCTGGTATGGCTATGCTGCACATCCAAAGACTTTAGGTGTTCAAGAGTGGTCTCCTTCAGACCACTTCTCTTCAGGGCAACTTGAAGTCTATGAGCTAGAAGGACTTCTGTTTATAAGGTAAGCTGCTGTGCCTAAGGCTTCCCCCCAAAAAGTTTTTGGTAGACCAGCTGTGAATAAAAGGCATCTAACCCTTTCAAGAAGGGTTCTGTTCATTCTCTCAGCAACTCCATTTTGGAGGGGTTCCCCTAACAGTCCTATGCCTCAAGATTCCCTCTTCACAATAGGAGTCAAGTCCTGATACAGAATTCCAGGCCATTATCAGTCCTAAGGGTCTGTATTCCTTCCTGTAACTGGTTTTCACCAAGTTTTTCCAGCTTTAAACTTGGTTAACCTTCTTTGACCTAAGTAGGTACACCCATACCTTTCTGTATAGTCATCACAATGGAGAGGAAATAGCAATTCCCTCATGTGTTCTAACCCTTTCAGGACCCACAGGTCTGCATGAACATAGTCTAACCCTTTTTTAGCCAGATGATTCCCTTTGGAACTCTATCTGTGATGTTTCCCCATCACACAAACTTACAGAAGGTTAAATCAGATAAGATTCCTTACCAAAGTACCCATGTTGGCTTAACACTGTCATACCTTTCTGGCCTATGTGGCCAAGTCTCAGATGCCATTTCTCTTGCAGCAGTCAGGTTTGAAGGTGATATTGCAGACTTAACAGTGAGTGCACAGTGTTGACCACACAGAATGTATAGCCCATTTTGTTTGACCCCTTCAAGTAATATTTCATTATTCTTGTACACCACTATGGATCCCTTTTGCCTTATAACTACATCCAGCTTCATCCAAAGTTCCAAGGAGACCAGGTTTCTTTTGAGGTAGGTATACCTCACTTTGGTTAGCATTATTTTTTGCCATTGTTCAACCTAATGGTTATGTTTCCTATGCCTTGAACCTTACAAGAATGATTATTGCCCATAAAGACAGTTTCTAACTCTCCCTTCTTAAAGTTCTGGAACCATGGATGTTGGGACTCATATGAAACGTGCACCCTGATCTAGGACCCATTCCTTACTACTAGCATGGTTTGAGATAGTGAGGGCTTCTGAAACTTCAATGCCAGTGCTAGTGCTAGCTAGGTTACTCTCTGTATTTTGCTGTTTTTGTTTCTTTATCAATCATAGCAGTTCTTCTTAGGGTGGCCAGGTTTATTATAGGGGAAACACTTCTAGTTTCTCCCTTAGGCTTGTTATTCTTTCCCTTTTCTTAGCCCTAGGGTTTAGTGTTGTTGAAAATTCCTATTGCTATCCCTTCCTGATTGACCTGGATTCTGATCTACCTTTGACAAACAGGTTATTGCCATTCCTTTCTGTATTTTCAACTCCAATTCCCTAGATTAAGACCTGTTATAATCAGGTCAACACTGGGAACTGTCCTAGTGTATTGTAGAGATTCTTTACCACTAAGTACTATCAGGCAGGGAATTTAACAATATCATAGCAGCTGGAGTCACCAACTCCTGATCTGTACCTTTCAGTACTAATGTCATCTAAGAAAACTCATCTAGGTTTTCTTCTACAGACTTAGTAACATCCATCTTATAAGAAAACAGTGCTCCTTAAGAAATGCTAAGTTTGGTGCAGACTGTAAGGAATAAAGGGATTCGAGTTACCCCAGAGTAAGTGGTGTTTCCATACCATCAACCTTTCGCAGGACTGCATCGGACAGATTCATTATGATAAGATTGTAGGCCCCTCATCCACTTCAACCTTTTTTTCAGTTTCTCTCAGACCACTTGGTGGCATCCTTTTCTAGGGCAAGCCCGACTTTATTGTGCGAAAGAAGGGCTTCATCTTCTTTTTCCATGTATTAAAATCTATCTCCCATGTTGGGTGATTTCCATACGAGTAGTGCTCATTGTATGTAGTACCAGGACAGAACAGTCAAAGGGTACGTGGCGTTGTTATACCAGAATTCGCCAAGATCTGCCAAGCAGTTTTTAAGGCAGTTACGGGTGTTCCAGTATATACCCTTAAACTGTATTACACAATGCAAGACACAAACAAGACTGAAATGACTAGACTACTACAGCAGACAGAACAGTCAAAGGGTACGTGGCGTTGTATACCAGAATTCGCCAAGTCTGCCAAGCAGTTTTTAAGGCAGTTACGGGTGTTCCAGCCTATATACCTAGACGATACCGAGACTTCTACTCTGACTTGTGTTGTGACTCAGACTGACCAATTCGACTTGATTCAAGGACTATCGACAACCCTAAAGACCTATAGCCTTTAATCCGAAAAACCCCCAAATCTGACAAACCTAATTTCAGAATTTGTACGAATTTCGTCGATCCCTTGTGTTTGTAATATTCTCACGAATTAGCCCAAGACTTAACAAGATTGAAGTCCTAACGGTCTAGAATCTGAAAAACGAAAAACCCCCAAATCTTGACAAACCCTAATTTCAGAATTTGTAAAAGGACCAAACGTTTCTAACCCTAAATCCCTTAGAACTTGAAAGCTCTGATACCACTGTTATAACCTAAGCCTAATAAACAAATCCGCAACACAAAACAACACACAAGATTAAGGATCAAGAAAATCACACACAATACACAAGGCACAATTTTTACCGTGGTTGTCTATCCAATCTTGGATAGACTACGTCCGTTGAGCTCCGAAATATGGAAGCCCACTGCACTAATGAGACAGTAAAGATAAAGAAGACACAGTTACAAGTCTGCCTCAAACAGATACCACCCACTACGGCCTAATCACTCCAGAACCTCTCAACAATCTGCAAGAACCAGAGGACAAACCAGCCTCTAGAAGGAAACTAACCCTCTCTCACCAAAGCAGATTAACCCAGAAAGATTCACAGAAGAAAAACCCTAGCCCGAGTGTTTATCCCCTTTTTCAAACCCTAATCCCGATAACGAAATACGTCTATCAAGTGTACTGTTGATCTTCTTATATATGATTTTATCAGCAGTTCTCAGCCCTTGGATCTGTCTTGATCTGATGGCTGAAACTTGGTAATGGCTTTAAACAAAACGACCCGTTTTGACTTAAGTGAAACGGCTCTGTTTGGCTTCACAAAACTTTCAAAAGGCAACAATGATTTCATGGTTTTCGTTTGCATACCCCTCGAAAGTAGTTCAACAAAAAGGAAATGTGCAAGAGAGTGTTATCAATGGCGTGTTATTTATAGTGTTTTTTGTTGACATATAATACGCTAAATAATCTTAGTTGATTATCTCAACTTATCTCAGGATCCATTTGAAGTTTTGAAACCAAACTAGTGGTCAAGATTTCAACTCTGGAAATCTGCAGGAAATTTCCTTGCTTTGTATTTTATGAGCAAGATTTCAGGAATTGGGCAACCAAAATTAAATAGAAAGTGAACGAGAAGGTTATCATAATACCTCATAATCAAATTTGGAAAAGTTATAAATAATTTGCTAGACTGGTTGATCCGTTGTTACCATCATCGACCAATCGTTGACCATCGTTGATTGTATTGAATGACATTAAATTTTGAATTTTATTATTAGAGTAAATA